TAAAGATTTTATTCATTTATTTGACAGAGAGAGAGATAGCGAGAGTAGGAACACAAGCGGGAGCGAGGGAGAGGGAGAAGCAGGCTCCCCGCTCAGCAGGGAGCCCGATGTGGGGCTCGATCCCAGGACTCTGGGATCATGACCTGAGCTGAAGGCAGATGCTTAACGACTGAGCCACCCAGGCACCCCTAAACCATCTTCTTAATATGTGACAACACACTGCATATTTATAAAAGCATAAATTAAGTAGCAAGGCTACATTATCATACTAATCTCATTATTCTGAAAGAAGACAAATATTCTCTATGGTACAGAAGGAACATGCTAGTTCCAGAGAATAGTTAATGATGGGCAAGTTGGGCTTGTTACCATTTTCTGTGGCTATCAACAACTAAACCTGTCCCCTGCCTTGCCCTATTTTCTGATTCATCTATACATCCTTCCAACTCATTTATACTGAGCATCTCCTGTGTGTCTAGATGCAGTGCTAGGCCCCAGGGGGATGGGTATACACAAAGATGAAATATATACAAAGATGAAAAGATAAGATAGGCCTTGCTTTAAGGAGCTTACAATTATAGGAGCAGATAAGCATGAAAACAGTTACTGTGTAATGGAGTAAATGCTCTAGTGAAGGTATGGAGAAGAAGCAATAGGAGTTTAAGAAAAAAAAAAAAGTAGTACCAGAGCCTGCCTGGAAAAGAAAAAGCCTCAGGGTGCCTGGCCGGCTCAGTCAGTAGAACATGAGACTCTTGAGTTCGAGCCCCATGTTGGGTGTGGAGCCTACTTAAAAAAATAAACAAAACAAAAAAAATGTCAAAAGCCTCTTGAGAGGATGTAAAGGTAAAGCTGAGGCTGTGATGTAAAAATGAGTGAAGTGTACAGCAGATGAAGTGGGAAAAGCTGTCACAGTGCACAGCTCCCAGAGCCTGGAGGTGGGAGAAACAGTGTTTTGCCACTCTGAAGAGAGTGTTGGGAAGTGGCTAGAACAGAACCATCATCTCTAGTTGGAAGGAATAAGCAAGCTGGTCATGGGAGCATTGCCCACTCATCCATTAGTACCCTCAGTTGAGATGCAAGCCAGCCCTTCAGGCCCCAGAGACGCTTTTCACCACCGTTAAGCCCTGACACAGTTTTTGAGGCTTTTAGAAGCCTATAAATAAACTTCCATTATAAACTCTGGCCTTGGTGTGGGAACATAAGTAAAACTGAAAATGCAAATCAACCTTTAAGTTTTTCATTTCAACCCCCCCTCCCCGTTCTGCAAATTTCCAATTATATGAAAAACACACTGTATCATCTCAAGGATTTACTGCTTGAGAACCCTTTCTTTAGAGTCTTCTATGGCTTACTGAATCCTGATGGCCACACTGAAGTGACTCCCATAAACTTATAGGCTGTCTTCCCAAACTATGTTGTCCAAACCCGATTTTTAGTAAGCTTTGAAGCTATAGAAATCACACAGAAAGTGCAAAGATTTTCATACAGACCTGACTGCAAATAGCATTTGCTTTCATTAATTTGTTTTTACCCCAGCTTTCTACTTCAGAGATACAGAAAAGTTGAAAGAATAGTACAGTGAATGATCTCTCATATACTCTTCATCATATGCCCTTCACCTAGATTGACTAAACATCTTGTCACGTTTGGTTTATCTCTATCCCTGTATATAGGTATATGTCTATATACATATGTGTGTGTTGTGTGTGGGGGGGGTGGTTTTTTTTTTTTTTAACTTTCTGATGAGAAAAGAGACAAAGGGAGAACAGTTAGGAGGCTGTTGGTGTGATGGAGGCACCATCCGTACCAGGAGGAGGTCAGTACTGGGCATTCTGGGAGTATACAGGAGAGGCTTCTCATCTGTCTTTTCTGGTAGCCAAAGGGGGTTTCCTGAAGTAAGTGATAGGTAAACTACAACCTAAAGGACAATTTGGAATTAGCCAGGTAACAGGTGGAAGGGAGCAGTCCAGGGCAAGGCAACAGCACAGGCAAAGGCATGGTAGCTGGAGGAGAACATCATGTGTTTAAAGAAGCTGCATATAGATTTGTGTGTCCACAGCATCCAGATTAAGGTGAAAAAAGAGGGAGAGGTGCTGCCAAGAGTAGGGGGCAGATCTTAGAGGGCCTCTTGAGACAGGCTAAGGAACAGAGTTTATCTTGAGGGCAGTGGGGAGCCATTGAAAGTTTTACCTTTTTTTTTTAAGATTTTATTTATTTAATAGAGAGACAGCGAGAGAGGTAACACAAGCAGGGGGAGTGGGAGAGGGAGAAGCAGGTTTCTCCTGAGCAGGGAGCCCAATGCGGGGCTCGATCCCAGGACCCTGGGATCATGACCTGAGCTGAAGGCAGATGCTTAACCACCTGAGCCACCCAAGCGCCCCGCCATTGAAAGTTTTAAATGGCGTTAGGATGTGGCCAAATTTGCAGTTTTGAAGGAGCAGTCTTAACTCTGCTTGAAGAGTGAAGAAAGAATGAGGAGTTTGAGAAGAGGCAAGGGGATCCGTTAGGAGGCTTGTTGCAGTGATCTGTGGGCAAGATAATCTGTGGGTAGTAAGTGGAGAGAGGTCGATGGCGATTTTCAGGAGGAAGACGACAGCACAGAGCACATGGAATTGAGGTGGCCAGGTGGGGGACTGAGAGAAGTCAGGAGTGAACCCCAGATTTCTAGCTTGAGCAGCTAGCTGAATGGTGGAACCCTTTACTAGGCTAAGGAACTTAGAAAACAGAGTAGTCCGGGAGGGTTCAATTCTGGTTGTGGTTTGAAGGGTCTGCGGGAGATAGTGGAGATGTCCAGTTGGCATGCCTGAGCTCCCGGATGGAGGTCTGGATGGGAGGCAGTGAAGGCAAGCTGTGCCCTGTGTCTTCTTCTCGTGCAGTGTTGGCCTCAACATGTGCATAAGGCAGCTTTTCCAGTCCTCACATCTCCAGTGTGCTTGGAGGGTAGCCTTCCTGAAACACATCCAGGGCAGGCACCAGCCAGCCAGGCGATGGGCACATTCTGGAGGCGGCACCTACAGAGCGGTGATTTTTGACATGGGTGGAGTTCTCATTCCTTCTCCAGGGAGAATGGCCGCAGGTGAGCTCTACATTCTGTTTCACTTTTGGAGACTAGGGTCGGGGTAGGGGGAATGCAGTGTGTAAGGGGAGGCTGAGAGGAACATTTGGGCAGCTCTGCTGTGAGTACCCTTCATTTCCAGTTTCACCTCATGGTCTGTCTTCGCTGCTTCGCCTCCTACCATCACATTCTCATTCCAGCCAGCAGGAAGGAAAAAAGGCCCAAGAGCTGACCTACTATGGTGGCTGGTTGGGCAGTTCTCCATGCTAAGCCAACTCAAGTACAGGTTTTATATGCCCCTGAGTAAACATTTCCTATTGACCTTAAACATGAAACAGTTATTTTACCAGCAAAAATGAGTTTGTTTGGGAATAGCAAGAAAACTGCAGTTTGGGACAAGCAAGCTATGGCCAATACCATAGGCTAGTCTCACAAAGGAGAGGAACATTATTTTATGGAGAAAGAAG